TTTATTTGACAATTTCTTTCGTAATTGGAACCTAAGGAAGGGGGCTATCTAAATTGGGCACATATGAAGAAAGTTTGGGAGATAAAGAGGAAGGAAATTGTGATTTTTTGAGTTTCTTCTATCTCTTATGATAGTGAAATGAATAAGTAATTTAGTTTGTCGAACTTATACATTAACATTTCTCTAATTGAATAAATATGAAGAAATACTATTTAATTTTAAATAGGAAGAAATTCAATAAGGTGAAATTTTATGAAGATCCAATAGTGAAAGAATAAAATTTGCAAGGAATGAAGGGAAAGCTATAGTGAGATAATTATTTTAATTCAATGAAAATTTTAGCGATGATTTAGAGCTATTTAATGCTAAGTTAATTAGGTTCAATTAAGTAAAAGTCGTATTTGAAAATGGTTGAAGAAAATTGAATGTTTCTTTTGATGATATTTGAAACATCGAAATTATATTTTAATATTAATTAAAATATTACATTATTTTGAATAGTGAAAGATTTTCATACTAAAATGAGTATTGGAGGTATATTTCGTAGAATAACATTTTTGGAAGGAATCTAAACATACAAAAATATTCAAAGCTGGTAATTATTGTTGTTTATGGAAATTTCATTATTTTATTTTAATTTAAATTCTAAAAGTAATGCCTTATATATTTATTTTGCTTATATTTGGATACTATTACATGTAAGATAATGTCAATTAAGATGTATATGTGATTATAAAAAATTTGGTTTGTATTCATGAACAATGTACCCGTGCACGTTAAACATAAATAAAAAAGAAAATGAAAATAGTTGTGCTATCATTTATGTAAATTTTAGTCGGTGCTCCTGTCCTAAATGAAAAGGACAAAAACAAGAGAAACCTAAAAAATGCTTGAATGTTAATTGAAATAAAAATGAATGCATTATTTTACATATGTAAAATAAATTTTTATACCACATGAATTGATATATCAACAAATATGTAAATAGAGAAAGAATAACATGATAAAAATGATGCATTTTTTAGTATATGTATAATTGTTATGTTATAATGATAATTTCCACTAAGTTTATCATGTAAACTCAAACTGTTAAACTAAATTTTTCACTGAAATCTCCTGATAATTAGAAATGGCAAAAAAAGATGAATTATTGCACATAAGAAGATGCTTGAATGATAAGAGATAAAATCTGGTTTGTATTCATGAACAAATGAATAAGTTGTTAGTGGCTATTTAGTGTTTGTAGAATGTTAGCCATTGTTGTTATATGTAATTGTATAAATTATATTAATCGTCTGATTGTCAGTTCTCATCTTGTTAATTCGAGTCTTAGGGCCGGGCCGCGACACTTAAAAGCACAATAGAAAATATTGAAACATTCATTAGATAACCAAATAATATACAAATATCTCATGCTTATGGTCAAATCAAATATCTTGACAAATATCTCATGCTTATGTTTGGCGGCCACCATCGAACCGCCACTCTATCATAGCCATCAAATCATAATCTCCTGACCATTGTCGTCCTACTATGATACTCATTCCACCATCCAGACATTCTATTTTACAATAATTTTGGTGAAATCAATAATTGAATAACTTTGAATTTGAATATGGAAATTTTCATTTAAACTATTGAGATTAGTTTTTGATTAAATATAATTTCAATGACCTATCAATTTTAATTTTAAAACAATACTAAATAAAAGTTATATAAAAAATCAAAACAAAATTTCAAATATTTTCTATCAAATCAACCAATGAATAAAGTAATTATGCACGTATAACATTGGATGTTTTAAGCCATGTTGTATTTCAAAGACTTTGGAATTATGATGAGATTAGCTCATCTCCAACAAAAAAAAAATTCAATTTTCACCCCAAAATATTACTATACACAAAAAAATTTTCATAAATAACCCGCAATCATTAACATGGAACTCGGTAACGGTAATTGTGAAATAATTTTATTGACAATAATTGCAGATCTGCCCCCAGATCAAACAGTACAGTAATTAGGGTTTGACAGGGACCAAGAAGCAACCAGACGGGCCGACGGGGTATGGTTTTACTCGAAGCCGTCACCTCTACCGCTAGCCGACGGCCGCGGCTCGCCGGTTCGACTGTCGCCTTCTTTTCCGGCGAGGACGCTATCGCTCTGCCGCCACAACATAGCTATCTGGTCAAGCTTATCATATTCGACGGCGACCACGCTTACCCGGCGAAATTCATCCACCTTTTTGTCAAATTGCCGAGGCTGTGGCGTTCAAATTATAGAAGCGAGTGTTAAAGTCGTAGATCGCTGGGATGAAGGTCGTTGCGTTGGTGAGTGGGGGAAAGGATAGCTGCTTCGCGATGATGAAGTGCATGGATTACGGCCACGAGGTCGTTTTAGTAAACCGATCACTTTTTGTCTTGTTTCCTTGATTTTTTTTTTTCATTCCTTTGTTTTATTATGCATTTGCTCTTACCTGATTGACTGGCTGTAGATTGTTGCACTAGCCAATTTGATGCCAGTTGATGATTCTGTTGATGAATTGGATAGCTACATGTACCAAACTGTAAGATTCTTCTCTTGTTTTATTTTTTGGTTTTTTAATCGTCGTTAACTAGACTCTATTACCTCTTCTTTTGAATGGTTTACTTTTTGAAAGTTTCCGAGGAAAGTGCGTAATTGATCCTTGCACAAAATAAAATTCTTTGAGGGGTATATACATAATACATCCATTTCTAGGTGGGAAGATTAGCCTTCTAAGTTATGCATGGAATAAGAGAAAAAAATGTTTCTGAATTCTCTAGTTAGTCGATAAGGCTTGCAACATTTACTACTATAATGTGAAACAAAAAGGAAAAAAAATATAGCAGTTGCTGATAGATACTGAATTCAAGTGTATATGAACAGGATATCATAGGGATATGTAGAATATCCTAATGTTGTTATTATTGAAGGTTAGGAGAAGGTTTTTAACATTTAGTTGGACTCCGTGAGAGTATAAAACTATAGATTAATACAGTTTGTATGGGTTGAAATATGTTTCTAATTCCTAACAAACAAATTTTTTTTTTGCTACAGGTTGGCCACCAAATTGTTATTGGCTATGCTGAATGTATGGGATTGCCATTGTTCCGTCGAAGGATACAGGGATCAACTAGGTGGAGGCTCCATTCTGCTTTGGCATTTATTTATTTTTTGTTTGTCTCATTATTGTTTGGAGCTCTTCCAGCTCTTTCGTTTCGTGTTTCATCTTATTCATTCCTTTTATTTATGAATCATGTTGCCTTGATTGTCTGAATCAGTCTTGTTTTTCTTTTTTAATTTTAAGATAATGTTTGATTTTGTTCTATGTACCATTTTGAGACTTCAATTTGATCCCGTCCTTCCATGAAGTGTATAATTAACTATGAATTTAGATCATATGGTAGTATTTCTTTTTGTTAACATTTTATAGACTAGCTTTCTGTGACTTGATAGATATAGATATTTCAATTTCTAACTTTCACGTTTGTTGTTGGAAAACTTGATACACTGTTCTTTATGCTTGCATTTTAGTTGTAAAATTTATTTGAGTTAATTGGGATGGGAACTACATTCAATTGTTCTATACCTTTTTTGTTTTTGTTTAAATGAACATTTTGATGTTTAAGGTCTGCACCTTCTTTATTTCTTCTTATAAGATGGAAAATGCTTTTCTATTTGTGTAGGAATCAACAATTAAGCTACAGAATTACTCCTGGAGATGAAGTGGAGGATTTGTTTATTTTGCTACAAGAAGTTAAACAACAGATTCCTTCTGTGACAGCTGTATCGTCTGGCGCTATCGCATCTGATTATCAAAGACTCAGAGTGGAGAGCATTTGTGCAAGGTTAGGCCTTGTTTCTTTGGCTTATTTATGGAAGGAAGATCAAGCTTTTCTCCTTGATGAGATGGTAATTTATAAATTAATGTCACTATTTTATTGTTTGTGGCAGATTGCTTTTATACCTATCTATCTTCTTTTACAAAATGGCCTGACTTGTTTGTGCTTGCAGATAAGAAGAGGCATTGTAGCTGTTATTATTAAGGTAAAATTTTCCATTAGTTATTTCTGGTTCCTTCTTTTTATGTTTTTTGTTGATATTCATTTGTATAAACCTTCAGCGTACTCTTGAATGAAATAGCCACAATGTGGTCACTGGGATCAATTGAAGTGAGATGGTAGGTTGCATATGTGGATTGTAGTGGTGTCACATTGTGGGGTCAGGTTCTTGTGAGGTGCATGTCATTGATGGGGTTGGTTCCAACGAGATTGCATTGAGGTTGCAATCTGCCTCATCAGAGATGTATTCCGAATTCGATTTATTTCGATGAATTAAGAATACCTCAGAAACAGCCTAATGGATGTATTCTAAATTCCTTCAAATGTTATTTTGCATTTATGTTAGTTCAACCTAATGCCCAAAATTTCAAAACCTTTGCATTTGTTTTTCTCTACACCACTAAAACATCCAAACAAACAACGCATGCAAATTGAAGGCTACAAAAATTATAAAACAATGCAAAATTCTAGAAAACCAAACAATACTCCTCTGATCTGCTTCAGATTCTAGAAAGCTTATACCGTGGGGCCCATGCTGCCATGCCGGGTCCTGTCCTCAAGCGCTTAACAGAGAAACCACCATAGCTGAACCTGCCTATCATAGAAACAGTAGGTAATGATTTAGAAAAAAGTGAAGAAATCGGGGGCCGGTAATCAAATAACAGAGAAATTAATAGTCCTGGAGAAGCCTCTTCCACCTCGGTAAGGCTAAAACAAGGAAAAGATCCGTGCTATTTAGTCTTGATTCACATTGTGCTATTCATGGGATACCTTTTTTGGTTGTTTCAAATCTAGATGATATTCTTGCTTATTGTTTACATCCACGGTACGTGGTTGCTATACAGAAAATATTTTGATTTGTTAATTATTAGATTAGTAAACTACTGTCATATATTTCTTATTTCTTATTTACTTTTATTTGTTAGCTCTGATAATCTAAGTTCTTTTTTCCCCGCATCACATCAATTTTGTAGGTTGCAGCTATGGGCCTGAACCAGAAACACCTTGGGCAGGAACTTGTGGATCTACAAAGCTATCTGCTTCAAATGAAAGAGTATGTGTGGGGTATATCAACTTACACAAAATATGAACTAATAAATTCTACCTGATTCTTATAAAAACAGCTACAAGAAATATTTGGCTTGATTATTTTTATGCTTTTTTTACAATTGTCGGCTTTAAGAATATTAGTTGATTGTGAGGAAGTCTTTCCTCAAGATTTGCTCAGATTTCTTGCTACCAGATATAAATTAACATATTTGCTTGAAAGAGTGGAAGTCTTCTTATGGCATTGCTACGATCTCTCTTTATATTCTGGAAATAAATGAATATTTATAGTTAGGAGTTCCGTTCATGGTAATTTTAGTTCAAACTCCAGAAGAATAACTATCAATTTCCTTTAAAGAAATGAGTAAATAAACAAAAACTGTTGTTTTGAGTGCTGTTATGCTAAGCTGTAATTCTCGGCGCTTCAGTTAGCAGAATAAAACACACGATTCTACTTGTTATGATCAACTTGTTAACTTTCAAATGAAAGAATAGTCTAAAATGCTACATGCTAGATTTTCTATTGCTTATCATGCAGTACAATTTTTGTTTAGCTTCTACAGATCAAACCCCTGTGCGACTGTTAGCATCTCTAATGCTTATACCTTTTGCTCACATAGATTTATCCTTTATTACCTTTCCATTTACAATTTTGCAAGCATGATGATTTTATCTCCACCTTCATCCTTACAAATAAGATTTGTTTCTTCTGTAAGAAAGATTATTAAAAGATCAATATTGCTATTCGAAAGCTTTAAATTTCCTTATTTGATAGTTTATTCAGAAAATGTTTATATAAAAAATTACATCTTATTTTACAACTCTATAATAATTTATTTTTTATCCAAGTTATTATCACGTCAAAAACCATAGAAAATTGCTTTCATCCAGTCATTCATGTAGGTCTAAATTCTAATAATGAGAATTCTTTTGCACAGAAATGTAAACCGCTTGCAATGATGGCTATGCTTATGCTTACTTGTTGTTGTTTGTTTAGGCTTTATGGAATTAACGTATGTGGTGAAGGAGGAGAATATGAAACATTAACTCTTGATTGCCCACTTTTTAAGGTAAGTTATCCACGTTCCTGCTTTCATAAATGTGATGTCCTGTCTTAGTTTACCTTTTTTTCATTTATTTTTTATTACTAAAGGCATGTTTTACCGGCTGTTAATTTTTAACCTTTATAATTCCTTTTAGATTGACTAGTCCATCAACCTTAAATAATATATTCACTGAGGGAACAATCAACAAGGGAAGGACTGAATCAGCATAAGTGATTTCATATGATATAGGCTGTCGCATATATGAAGATGTTTTGTAAGTAAAGAATAAAAATGAAGTATTCACTGGATATTAGTTGAGTTTTCCTACCACCATTTGCCTTTTCCTGACAACCTTATTTAATTATACTCCCTAATTACCAACCTAATTATTTATTAGTGAATGTGTTTATTTTTAATGCTATAGAATTTGGGCGTGGAAGAGCTTGTGAGTGAGCTTTAGATAAGAGAGTGAGAGATTCCACTTATGTGAGTGAGTAATTCCCCAATGTAATGAGTGAGTGGATTTTCTTTGGGTGAGTGATTCATTGTTTGTTATGGGTGAGAATATGTTCATTTTTCATGCTATAAAAGGCTTAGTCATGGAAGAGTTTATGAGAGAGCTAATAGTGAGAGAGTGAGTGATTCATTGATTCCCCGTTATAATAAGCAAGTCCTTTTTGGGTGAGTGATTTATCAATTGCTATGAGATAGCAAGTCTTTATAGTTTTGAGGAAGTGAATCCTCATTCTATCTCATGTAATTGTCCTAAATAGTCTTGAAATCCCTTTTATCTACATTCAGTTCAATTTTTTTTTGGGTGCTAATTAATATCAGAGTCGGTTTCATAACATCTTGATTTGAGCATTTATATAGGTATCGATCAACAACAAGAAGTACTTATCATGAGATGGAAGCTCCACCAATGAGTTTCCTACGTGAAGAGAGGACGATGAAATTTGGTTGATACTTATTGAACTTTACAACGAGTACATATCATTTACTATCCATCTCATTCAATTATATTTTGCAACCACTAGTCACCTTATTTACTCCCCAAAGAGTTCATATTTGATGTTGTAAAAGGCTTGGACATTTCAAGTTTTAGTGAAAGAGCTAAAGAATGAGAGTGATAGATTCCTCGTATTTGGGTGAGTGATTCCCCAATGTAATTGGTGATTGAGTCTCCTTTGGGTTAGTGATTCATTGATTGTTATGGGTGAGCAAGTCCTCGTAGTTTTGAGTGAGTAAATCTCAACTTCATATATTGTAAATTTTCTTAAATAATATTAGCATTCTTCTTCCTATCTACTTTTAATTTTTTGGGCCTACAACAAAATATTGTAATTATATAAACATTATCCTCATATAATATATAAAGTATAAACTAGGGGTGTCAATTTCGGGTCACGGGTCGGGTTCGGATCGAACTCGGAAGTGATCCGACACTATTCGGGTTTGGGTCAACCCGACCCGTTTTTTCAAACGGGTCGATTTTCCAGACCTGAACCCGACCCCCTTCGGGTTCGGCTCAACCTGACCCGACTCGCTTCGGGTTCAATTTTTTTTATTTCCCGTACGCAACGTGACAGTGCGGCAGCTCGGGCGGCGTCAGCAGTAGCAGTGCAGCAGTAGCGGTGCCGGCAAGGCAGCGGGCCTGGTGCAAGCGGTGACTCGATGTCTTGATGCGACGCGAGAAGGCAGGCTGCGAGGCAACCAGGGCAAGCGGGGCAGGCGGGCAACTGGGGTAGGCGGGGCTGCGGGGCAGGCTGACAGACTGGGGCAGGGCAGGTCAGGGTGGGCAGGGCCGATTTCTAGGTCATTCCGGGTCATTCCCGGGTCAACCCGAATCCGACCTAGTTTTGCAAACGGGTTAGTTTTCCGGACCCGAACCCGAGCCGCTTCAAGTTCGGGTCAACCCAAACCCGAAATTTTTGGGTCGGGTCTAATATTGACACCCCTAGTATAAACATCTATTATGCATTGATATTTTGTATGATGAAGTGTGTCATATCGGAAATGTGCATGACACGTTGCTCCACATGTGCCCAACATGTGTTGGACACTCCATCTGTGTTTCCAATTAAAATTAATAAAAAAAATAATGGACTTGTGTGTCCTACAAATATGTCATGAATAATAGTTTTAACTTTTAAAAATATTTCAGATAAATAATTTAAGTTAAATTGATCACTCTCTTTTATTTTAAAATATATTACTTAAAAAAATTAATAGTTAACACTAATTTTACTTTTATTATTGCACTCTATTTTACTAAGATTTTCTTATAATATTTATTTTTTATTTTCTCACAAAATTAGCAAAATTTTCAATTTAAACCCAACAATCTATAATACAATGTGACAATTTTTTCTTCAATTAAGTTTAAGATATTTGGTTAAATTAAATATATATTTTTAATTTTATGAGCAGTTAAACTAAAATTATTATTATCTTTGGTTAATTTAAATATATATATTTTTAATTTTATGAGCAGTTAAACTAAAATTATTATTATTTGAAATCATTTCTTATTTATTTAATTTGTATAATTATTATTATTTTTAGATGTAACATTATAATGTAGTGTCTAAGTGCGTGTATTTATCCTATTTTTTCAATAACAGGTGTGTGCTGTGCTGGTGTTGTATCGTAACCTATCGCCATGCTCATATTGATGCATCTTTGATGAACATTTTTTTTATATAGCCATGTACATACTTCATGTAAGGGGGCACAAAACATAAATAACAGAAAACTGTACAAGATTTTACAAATATATGATGTTATTTTATTCTAATTTACCTACATTTAAAATAATTATTAGCTTTTTGAAACATTTAGGCCGGACGCTGTGCCTGTAATGGTATCAATCTATCTGGTTTAACATTAAAAATTGGATAATGCCACATAGATTATCTGTTTTGGCATATTCAAGAGTGCCCGAGTTTCCAGAATTACCGTATATTTATGCTTCCTTCTATAAGAGTCCTCATAATTTATTTAAAAAGGGCCATATACTATTCATTTAACAGGTCTTATGTAGCTTGACATGAAACAGTTTATTGTGTTCATTTCCAGAATGCTCGAATTGTAATTGACAAGTTCGAAGTAGTACTACATTCACCTGATTCAATTGCACCTGTTGGTATTATTCATCCATTGGCTTTCCATCTGGAGCACAGAAAAGATTCTTCATGCACAGATAAGGAAAATAATGATTTTACTTCAGAAAAAGCAGGTTCTGTTTTCCATGTTAAGAAAGAGTTTTTGCCAAATTATTTGGAGAAGTGCAAATCTATGGATGCAGTATTTGATAGATTTGACACAATTGAGCAAGTAAAGATGAGCATATCAACTTGCAAAAGGGACACATTCTCCATTGGGTGTTGGGTTCCAAACTCTACCCCTTTTGAGGGTATAAAGCTTATCTCTTAGGACATGAAATTCACTTTATCTTATTTGTCAATAAGCGTCTTTTTCATCAAAACACTTATCTTTAATTGTCCTGGCAGGATTGCAGAAAGATCTCATGTCAGTTCTTCATGCAATTGAGTTACAACTGCTGAAAGATGATCTTGATTGGGCTCATGTTTTGTACATCCACCTTTACATTTCTGATATGAAGCAATTTGGATTAGCCAATGATGTTTATGTGAGTTTCATTAGTGAAAAGAAGTGCTCTTTTGGTGTCCCATCGCGTAGTACGATCGAGTTGCCTATTGCGGAGCTCGGTCTAGGCGATGCGTATGTTGAAGTTCTGGTGTCAACTGATCAGTGTAAACGAGTTTTGCATGTACAAAGCATATCATGCTGGGCTCCTAGTTGTATTGGACCATATAGCCAGGTAGCAACTGATGATTTTCATATTTTTCATTATATATATTGGTTTAGTTTGCTGTCTCTTATGAGATAATGAGCTAACTGTAAGAGTTGTTCCTCATTTTTCGTTTAGGCAACCTTGCACAGAGAAGTTCTTTACATGGCTGGACAGCTAGGTCTGGATCCTCCTACAATGTTACTCCAGCCTGGAGGTCCAGCTGCTGAAATGGATCAGGCTCTGCTAAATTGTGAGGCGGTGGCCAATTGCTTCAAAAGTTCCATTGCTACTTCTGCAATTATCATTATTGTATATTGCTCTACATCGATTTCTTCATTTGAGATGGCTGAAATCCAGAATCGAATGGAGTATTTCCTGAAGCACCATTCTACCCATCATGATGGCTTTCTAGGAGCATATAATCCAATTGTCCTATATGTTCTAGTACCCAATCTTCCAAAAGGGTAATAATTTAACAAGTGTATAAATGTAGCTTTCTTCAAATGACTTAAAAACACTATTATTTATTGCCTTACTTCCTCAATGGTTTCCGAATATTTTAAGGAAATTTGTTGATATAACTATTATTTTAGTTCTACTATCTTGAAAGTACAATTGAAGTTCTATTTGCAAGCTAATATATGCATACATGCAGAGCACTGGTTGAAGTGAAGCCTACCCTTCACCTTGCAGATAATGGAAAATATGGAGTTCAATCAGTCTTACTGAAAGCACCTGCTCCAGATAAGCCAAATTATTTTGGCTTTAAATGCTCAGATGGGCATAACTCTTATTGCAGGATAAATGTGGTTCCCGACAAGATATGCGTGGCCCTGATTTCTGTAACGAAAGACCATGCTGGAAGCATATATTTTGAAGCTGATCATGATCTTCTTTGTCTTCACTGTGACAAATCTCACAAGCACATCAAAGCAATTGCGTTATTCTTTACTGGTCTTATTGATAAGATTATTTCTGATAATGGATTTTCTTGGCAAGACATAAAGGTAAGTTTTTTTTTTTCTCTCATCATTCATCTTGATAGTTCAACAGAATTATTTTGAATCATGAATAATTCCTTCCTCTTGCAATGCGCTTGAAATATAACCTCAAGAAAAAAAATTAGGTCATTATATTATGAATGAAATTTGGATTGATTATCCATATATTTTTAATCATGATTGTCAATGTTTGAAATCTCCATTTTCTAATTCATGATGTTATTCTTCTTGATAACATTAGAACTACTTAACAAGTAGAAGCCATGGTGACTAATTCCTTCCCCTTGGAATGCTCTTGCATCATAACTTAAAAGGACAAAAATGGCGACGGTATAACTCGAAACAAAATTTTCGTCAGTCTTTGAGACGCGCAATATACAATTCGATTGAATATCCATATATTGCATTCATTTTAAAGTAAATACAATAGCTTTGAGGTTCATTTTGACCCCGATTATTTCCTATAACCTCACATGAGAGTTCCATAATTTTTTCGAAAACGGCGAGTGCAAAACACAAATTTGATTTACATAATTTGAATCACCATCTTAGCAACTATTTTCCAATTTTTTACCAATCAAACTAGCTAGCATGTTCTCTTTTTGTTCATAGATAAAAGTCACTTATTAAGATTTCGTTTAAGATAGCTTTCTTACTGCTTCTTAAAGTCGTTTTTTAATATAAAAATTAAATTTTTTATACTAAAAAATAAGCAGTAGTAAGAAAATCGTCTCGAATGAAGCCTAACTTTATTGCTTTTTATTACAGTCTTCTCTTATTCACTGCTTATTTTCTTCCATTGCAGAACCTAAGGTTCTACTTCCTGAATGATCTAGTCTCTTCAGCAGATCTTCTTTTCTCCATATTTTCTGAGGCTTTCAGTGAGTTTGCTGATTCAAGCAGTAAATTAAAAGCAATCTATGAGCCTCTTTTCAATCTACTGCCAGTTTTAGGCTCTGGTAGATCTTCCTCCATGGATGACCTCATCACATGTGAGGTATTTGCTTCAAAGCTTTGAAAGTGATTTCTCCATATTATTCTCCATAATCCACTGTAAGATTCTTCTAGATTATTGAAGGATTCATCAATTAGGTGCTTGAAGAAAAGCTCCTTGTGTATCATTTTATTTGTGTTGTAAAATATTATTTGATTACTTTGTATTACATTAAATTTAATTCTTTGGCTATAATGATACTATTTTTGCTTAGTTTTATATAGGGGTTTATACTGGTCGAGCTGAGCTCGAGTCATGTCTAACTTGAGCTTGATTAATCAATCACATTCTTGCTCGAACTCGAGCTTAATTCTACGACTTTGAGGCTGACGAGTCGGCTCATTTATTATAAAAGAGGAAATGATTATGATTGAAACAATTATTATTATAAAATGCTAAAAGGAATGAGAAATTAGAAGATAAATTATAAATAATTATTTGATATAAGAAAGTGAGATAAATTTTGAAGATTTTTAAATGGGTTTATGTTTAAACACTTCAATTCTAATGTCTTTTAAATGTATTTTATATTAATATTTTTTAAATAAGTAGGCTAGTGAGCCAACAAGTTGAGTCGAGGCTAGGTCAATTTTGGCTCATTAGCTCATCGATATCAGCTTATGAGTCATTTATTTAGCTGAGCTCGAGTTATATTACTTTTGTTTTCAGTTAAAATAAAATATGTTGAAAGATCTTGTTTTTTATTATGAATATATATTTTAATTATCCTAATAAGTTTATGTAGTTCATAATTTTTTTTTAACACAAAATAAAATTATATTAATAAACCAAAAATTACAACATAGACTCAAATAAAAAAGAAATAAGACCAAAATATCAGAGGAGAGGTACAATCAAAAGCGAGCCTCAAGAAATCAGTCAAAGGCTTCCAGCGTCCGGCGACTCAGCACGGACCATGGCCCAGTAAAGTTGTAAGAAAGAACCCCTCCCGAAAAACCACACCTACGGTTGCCACAGGCAAAAAAAAACGACCGGGACGGAGCCCCGACCACATCATTGCCAAGACCTCTCATAGAATCCAAAACGAACAGTAAAGCCAAATGAAAACCAAGCCAAAACAGCGAAACACAACAAAACGCCACGCAAAAATCACTTTTACGTCTACCTCTCAACAAAATTCTCTAAGTATGCAACATTGGCGAGCGAACAAGGGAAAAAATCAGAATCAAATCATCACAATGCAGATTGCGCTTCATTAATCCGACGAATCAATCAACCATCTTGCTGTCCCGTAGTCCTCCATAGACCTGGGGATGACCAAGGACACACACAATAGCCAACTTATGAGAATTAACGACATTACTAGAACCTCACTAGATTATAGTCAAGAAGGAATAAATCACTCACAGCCATATCCATTCAACAGACAAAAAAACCTCATCTCCACCCATCCTCATTTTCCTAAACATTAATTTCTCCAGAATTCACAATGCCCAGTAACAGGTGGGCGAACCAACTTCACCTAACAGAAGGAACCACCGTCTCCAGAGCAGTATGGAACGGAACCACATCCCAAACCAGAACCCACACCACTATTTGCATTCTAACATCAATCCTAAACAGAAAATAAAATCAAAAAATTTTTCCCCTGTTTTTAAGCCAAAACCGAGCCAAAATATCATTACTATTAGCATCAACTCCTTGAGGAATAAAAGGTCTAGCTTCGGCGAATTAAAACAAACGAGTTCATTAATTAATATCATCACAACACAATTATGAGTTTTAATCAATTTGATATCGAAATAATAAATTAATTACTAGTTTATTAGGGCTAATTATCCTTTATTTTACCAACTAATCATTTGACTAATACCAATGTATGCTTGATAAGGGAAATTAGCATTAATAAAAATTTTATATGGTTTATAAATAAGCACTCTATGATATTAATTAATTAAGATGATTAATTAACGTAAGTATGATTATCAAATATTTATTAGATATCTCTATATTGATCAACCTTAGAAATTGAGATGAGGAGAGATATTCTGTTCGGTAACACTGGACGGATAACCGTCCCAGTACCGCTGGTAGCGTCGGTAACAGTTCGTATCTAGCGTGGTACATCTTTGTGTGACAAGACACATTTTTTAATTGGCCTTCGGAAGACGGTCCGGATCCGCCTTTTAATAATTAGCTCAAGATGGGGGTCCAATCAACTAGTGTAGGTGGCAATAAGTTCGCCAAGGGGCGGCATCGACCGTCTCTGACGGAGCGAGCGATGTCAACAAGGCAAATCACTGGTTTAGAGATTCTTAAGGTTGTATTAGTTTTATTGAATGTTTTGGGTTGCTATAATGTGAAAATAAATTAATTTTATGTGTTGAAATATTTAAATTTAATGTTTTAAAGTGCTATATATCAAAAATCGCCTTCCGAAAATTCTTACTCAGAAAGACAAATAGATAAATTCTTAATATGAAATTGAAATTACTTTATTTACAAATTAATTAAAGAAATTAAAATTAATATAATATTTCATTATTTGAGTGTATATAAATATAATTTAATATTAGATGATACATTTTTCTTTATTTTTTTAATTCCATGAAAATCAAATATCGGAACTGAACACTCATTTGGTTCTTGGCTCTAATCATGCCATAAGAAGTGAATTTAACTAATTACGTGACTTAAACTAATTAGTTTTTTAATTTAATTCCGAGCTGTAGTTTCAAAGTTCAACCAGCTTAAGAGTACACCGCATCCAAGCTGGAGCCGAAGCGTTAATTATAAAATAATAATTTAAATATTGTTATAATTAAATTTAATCATAATATTATATTCCAAAATTTCTTTTATAATTTTATAATAAATTTATTTATCGTGCTACTTTTGAAAGAAATATCAAAATCTTTTTCATGTATCCAAAATAGTTCACACTAAACAAAATAAATTAAATTCAATAAAATTACTCAAAAAATTCTGATCCAAATTTTAAAAAAAATTAAATACTTCTAAAAAATAAATTCAAATATTTTAAAATTTTAATTATCAAATTTTGATTAGAATATTCTAATAAAAAATTTCTCCTAATAATTAAAATTACCAAATAAAAAAATTATACGAAAATATAGTTATCAACATTTAAAATCATTTAATTCAAATTATATTAATCCAAAATAAATTCAAATGTTTTAAAATTATAATAATCAAAATTTGAACGAAATATTAAAAATCCAAACTTTCTCCTTATAAAAAAATTAATTATCACATCTAATTTCAAATGATATACAAAATCTTTTTTCTATATCCAAAAATAGTTCATATGTTAGCAAAAATAAATAAATAATACTCAAATTAAAATCTTCTACGATTTATTAAATAAATATTGCCTAAATATAGAAATTTGAATCCTTTTTAGGATTTTGAATAAAAAAGAAAACGTATCTTTTAATCCTAAAACAAAATAAAATTTATCATTATAAAGAAACAATTATAGCATTTTTTAGGATTTTTTAAAATAAAAAATTCAAATTCAAATATCTTTGCTCTTTCTCTCTCTATAAATACTTTATGCAATCCCTCTTCAAACATATTTCATATTTTAGCTCTACTACAATAGAACTGGGTAGAGATAGAGAGAGAGAACATAGTTGGGTAGAGATAGAGAGAGAATAAAGTTGGGTAGAGATAGAGAGAGAAAAGGAGAAGATGAGGAAAAAGTGCTCTCATTGTAATCTGGACGGCCATAATTCTCGCACGTGTCAAAGTCAAGGTGTTCGGATCTTCGGGAAGAAGCTCACACCGTCTGATTGTTTCCCTTCCACCACTACTGCTCGCAAGAAAGGTTCTATCTTCTACCTTTTACGTTGTATGATAACTTTCTCATGCATATGATAACTTTCTCATCCAAAAATAAAATAATAAATAATAAGATTCCAAAAAGAAGAAGAATAATACAATAATTAAAGTTTTATTAATTCGGATGGTAAAATAGATAATAATCAATACATTCATAACTTTCCACATGTTTTGTATGAGTAATTTATAATAACAATAATAAATGAAAATAAATAGTGGAATAAAAAATTAAAATATGTATGTAAAAAGAAATAATTTGAACATGGAGTAAACTTGACAAGAAATATGTACGGATCGTAGCGGTTTTAGAAAATAGAAAGATTGAAGTGTAATTATACGGTGAGTTCTGATCGATGAGTTCTTACGATAGTTTCCTTCTAAATTAAAAAAATATATATTTATTATATTTATATTGATTAATTAATTAGTTATTTATTTATTTATTGTCTCAAAAAGTGGTAACTTGTGAGTTTTAGTTCTTGATAATTTGGTGAAAAATATTGTTTTTAATGTGTATGATTTGAAATTTTGTTTTTGAAATAAGAATTAATTTTGAATTGTTGTGTTAATAAAATAAGATTTTTGGAGCTTTTTTGAATTTTTGTAATTTAAGTCAAATTCTTCTCTGTTTTAAAATAATTAAGCTTCATATGTTGATAGTAGTTAATTTATGTTATCATAATACTTTTATATAATAAATAAAAAATATTTTTTGTTTGCAAAATTATTTATTTTAATTTTCAAATTTAGAAAGAATATGTTAGCTACGATATTATAGGATAGTTTTGAACAATAACCTATGGAAAAAATTGATTGGCTGGTGTTATTTTTTTCTCTTTTCTTATTCTTATTATAGTATTAATTAATTTATTGAAATATTATTGTTATTTTGAATAAATATTTTCCTATTTTGATAAGTTAATTTTTTAATAAAAATTTCTTGGTATTTAAATTTCAAATATGATACCAATTTAATATTATATCAAATATTTTGTCTTTATTTTTATTACATTACTATGAGAATCAAAATATCGAAACTGCCACTCATTTGGTTCTTGCTCTAATCATGCCATAGAAAAACATAATGAATTCTCACTAATTATAGGGATTACTCTTTTGGTCCCCAATTAATGAACTCTATTAAAATTTAAAACTAATTAGCTTTTAGTTTATATTCCGAGCGCTGTCCAACTTAATTATTAAAAATAAAAAAATAATAATATAAAAATATTAGTGATCAAAATTTAATAATTATAAAAATTTAAAATAATTTAATTGAAAATTATATTTCATTTTAATAATTCTAATATATATTAAAAATGTATATTTATAAAAAATTGATCAGAATAACTGTAATTAATGTATTATATAATTTCAAAATAATATGATCATTTTTATATATCCAAAATGATTCATATCTAAACAAAATAAATTAAAATTATGTTAAAAAATATTCAGATCAAAAATTTAAATTTTAATAAATTTTAAAAAATAATTTAATTCAAACTAGATTTATCGCAAAATAAATTCAAACATTTTAAATTTAAATTAGAATATTATATTAAAAAATTTCTTCTTATAATTTTCTTATATGAAATTTATTTATTATGCCCTAATTTTGAAAGATAATACAAATATCTTTTTTATATATCAAAATAGTCATATCTTAACAAATAAATTAAATTTCAAATAAAAATTTACTCAAAAGTTTTCTGAGTCAAACATTAAATTATAAAAAAAATTTAAAATTAATTAAATTCAATTATATTATAAAAAGTAGAATTCAAATTTTTTAAAATGTATAAAAATAATCAATATTTACCTCTGCAGACCTCAGAACAAATAATATTTTAATAATAACATTGTAAAACAAAAAAATATATAACAATATAATCTATAACAATCTGAGAACTAAAAAATATATAGCAATATATAAAAAAAATCCAATATTTTATTATGAAAATTTGCTTTCCTATCAATTTCACTTCAATATTTTCTTCATTAAAACTGAACTATGAAAATTACATTCATATTCAAAAATATATATTGTTTTCTTTTTTTTTTTTGCAATATTATATATAATTTTACATTTGTTAATTTTTACAAAATTATATATATATTTTTTCAGCGGTACAATGGACTGAGGAGGAGCATAAGATGTTCTTGGTTGGGCTTAAGAAACTGGGCAAGGGCGACTGGTGTGGCATCGCTCGTAATTATGTGTTCACGAGAACTCCCACTCAAGTTGCCAGCCATGCTCAAAAATATTTTCTTCGGCACAGCTCTCAAAGCATGAGAAATAGAAGATCCAGTGTGTTCGACATTGCTCCTGATGAAGTTCGTTTCCTTACACTCAGATTTTTACAGTAAAATTTGGAAGAAAAGTTGCCTGGGGAAGTGAAAGCCGTTGGATTTGCTTTGAGATATGTGCCATATAAATTTTGATGGATTTATTATTTTTATATATGTTACATAAATCTAGAAGTAAATTCAACGGATTTTAGTAAGGGGTGTCAAAAAGGATAGCGGGCTTGGATTTGAGTCCGACCTGAAATTGACTCGATCCGAATCAAACTAATCCGAACTCGACCTACCAACATTCCTGAATTGCCTGACCCGTTTTGATTATTTTTTTACTTATTAACTATAAAATTTATGATATTTAATAAAATTAAGAAGATTATGCCTACTAATTAAAAAATAATAATGGAAAAATATATATTAAACTGTCATTTTTTAGTCAAAAAATGAGTTTTCGAGTTAACCTGAATCCAACTTTTTTAAAAAATGTATCAGAAAACCCAATCATAATCTGACCTATTTAGTAAACAGATTAACCCGAACATGAATTTTTTTAGTTGAATTGACAAGTTACGTCATTTGTTGTCACCCCTAACTTTTAGTAGTAGTGCTAATAAATGATCATACCTAACAATAAAACTAGTCCACAGTTTCAGTCCAAAATTTCGACCCGTTAATTCATGAACCTGATTCTGACCCATAAGAGACCCATTTATTTAATTTTTCTCCATAAATTAATTTGCTTGCTTGTATTCTCTTCTTAACTTTTATTAATTGAACTAAACTTTATAATTGTCATTTTATAATTTAAAAAAAAACTAATCAAAACAAGTTACCAAGTCTGGCTCAAGTCATTCAGATTACCAACCAGTGAGTTGGTTTCATGTTCAACCTTTGACTTGTTCATTAGACGGGTCGGATTCAAGTCGACTGATTTCATATCAGGTCAATTTCAAGTTAAATCCAAACCTTACCCATTAAACCATTTTGACACACATCTAGTTAAGATATTGATATCCCACAAGTAGCCTTATTAAGAGCAACTTTTTTCATAACTTCACACTATGGTTCTGTTTGTGACAGCTTTCTTACTGTTTCTTGAAGAAACTTTTTCGTACAAAAATTAAAATTTTTGCACTAGAAAGTGCTATTAGAAGCAGAAAGAAAACCGTCCCAAACGAAGCCTATATCTCACACACATCTACTTCAACTTCAACTTTTTATGCCGCTTTTCAAAAAGCTACAACCTCAAAAGCAGCTTCTTCCAACCGCATTTTCTTGTCTGATAACCATCAAAAAGCTGTTGTTCCTACAACAATAATTTTACAGCTAATCCGCCCCAAAAGAACCCTAAATATTCTCTTTGTCTTGAACAAAATCACTCACCAGAACTATCTATCTTGGATACAGGAGGCTCAAGAAGCTGGTAGCAGTTCAACGACAGTTCATCCTCATGAAGTTTCAGAAAACCAACCTGCTATGCAGATTAACAGTTCAACTGACACGGAACCTGTCATCTCAGATCCACCCGCAAACCTCAACTGCTGCTATCCTGCCTTCTTTCCAAGCAAGCTGTACAGTTACCCAGCAGTTTATCCTGGCTTCCTTCAGCCTGGTTTTCCCTTTCCCATGGCTTACTGGCCTACCTATCCAGCTCAAGCTCCAGTTTTACAGTCACACCATGAGATTTTCAAACCTGTTGCAGTGCGTTTGAAGAGCTCTGTTGACGAGGAGGAGATTGATGATTTACCAAGGCTGAGTTTGTAGAACAGGTTTTGTTTGGGGCGACTTTCTTACTGCTTTCGAATGCAGCTTTTTAGTTCAAAAATTAAAAATTTTGTACTAAAAAACTGTTTTATAAAGCAGTAAGAAAGTCGTCCCAAACGAAGCAAAGATTTGCTACTTAACATGAAGTAGTGAGTTATATATTTATCCATGTTGGTTTAGTTAAGCGAGGCTTCGCTTGGGACAGCTTTCTCTTACTGTTTTCTAAAGCAGCTTCTTAGTTCAAAAAATTTTTGAACTGAAAGTTTTGGTAATAGAAAACAGTTTTAGAAAGCAGGAAGAAAGATATTCCAAATGAAAGCTTAAGGTCTATTTGACATTTTCTTCTTATTTATTTTTCTAATATGTATTTAATTTATATATGTATTTATTTGGCATTTTCTTCTTATTGATTTCTCTATGATAGTATAAATAAATTTCATATTGCATTAAATATTAGAAAATTAATAGGGCAATTACATTCATAGCCCTCTAGATTTGATTATTAGCAAAGTTAACACACTTTTATCTCTATTTTTTTAAATTCTCACATAAATATCAAAATTCACGATAAAATGTCTATCAATATTTTTCACTTTGTCAATTATCAAATAGTCTATATGTAGCATGCATAAATATAAAAATTTAATAATTAAGATAATTTGTATGAGTGTTAGTTTATTAGTTATGTAATATTTAAATTTTATATATGTAATTTCCAATAAATTGCTATAAGAATTGATAAGTCACAAAAATTGTTTTGATCGGGCATGAATCTCGAGGCGTATCCGAGTTGGAAACTTTCAAAAATAAATTTTAAACCATTTGAACTCCAATTTCAGCAAATTTATAATCAAACTAAATGTCTCCAAGAGACAGACCCAACAACACTAAAATAGGTCCAATCCAAACTAAAATTGGTTCGAATTAAGAGTCTGAAACGCATTCTGTAGCTTTAAAATTCAGCTATGATTGACGGCAGTTGGCGGCGGTGTAGGAGACCAGAATGCAATTGGCTTGCGGTGAAAAAGGAATTCGTTCAAAATTGAATTAATTTGTAATACATAAAAAATGAATTGATGAAGGTTAAAAAAAAAAAAAAGCTTATTTAAATTTTACTGTGAATTTATTTTTCAGGAAGGCAAACAACCTATAAATCCTCCAGAGCAAACTTGGGAAGGGCAGCATCGTCTTTTCATACTCTGCTTCGCTGGCAGGACAGAGAAACCCTAACGGCTACCCATTTCCCGGTCTTCTCTCCACAAGTCACCTGAACCGTCCAAATCCAATGCCCTAATGGCTGGAATATAGAGATAAAATAAATAAAATAAGAAAAAAACCCAGAATTTTTTTTGCTTCTTCTTCTCCTCTCCTCTCTCTCTGGGCTTCTTCTCTCTTCTCGGGTCAATTTTCTCAGCCGCTCCGTCCAAGCTGTGTTCTCCTTTCAACGGCCCCTTTCTCTCTCTCCGCCATTCTTCCATCTGCTCTTCCTCTTTGCATTGCGATGGCCAATTGAGCGCAGAAAATTTTTCTCCAATTCTTCTCGCTAGATGGAACCTCAGAGAAGATTGGGTGAGTATATTTTAAATAAATTTTCAATATTTTTATTCAAATATATGTATATTGATTATTTTTTTATTGAATTTTTGTTAAAT